TATAAATTAAAATCATGGTGACACAAGTTTCAAAAGTAATTCATAAATTACACATACAAAAAATCAAAACATATCGTGCACCGTAAGGAAGATCCAGTCATGTGTGCTGAGGATTATTAGGCTGTAAAAATGGAAACTTATCCCATGCCCACATCATAAGTAGTGGGGTTAATCCTCCAATAACAGAACGCTCAATATTGGTCGACATGCATAACTCCCGATATAAAAAGGCCAATACTGCCGCTCCTCAACTGTACTCTCCTGTGATAGTAAAATCCTCAAGCAATGGAAGGTACCTAACTGGACCCTACTAGAGGAATGATCAGCCAACATGAAACCACCTATTAATCTCAGAATATAAGCTCTAGCAAAGCGAGTAAGCTGAAGTTCATTATGATTATGCATTGCAACATGAGTAAAGTGTTGGTCCAACCAACTCAACTTCAAACTGCACCCTGCAAATGCATCATCAGGTGGCCTAATATCAAGCAAGTCCTCCATAATTTGTGCCTTATTACCTCCAACAGCTGCAATGACTACCTTTCCATCTATACGAAGCCCTATTTGAATAGTAATGTCCTGAAGAGTTATAGTACACTCTTCAGGAGGCATGTAGAAGGTATGAGTCTTTGGCCTCCATCTTTCTACTAAGGCTGTAATAAGATATTGGTCTATAGCATGCCAACTGAGCTACCCCAGCAAATCCAGCTAAGGTAAGATGAGGAAGAATCTCCCTTGGAACCCCTTCCATGCCAGCCGGTATGAAATAACTCCTTCTCACCTGCAGAATTGGGTACTCACGTTCATCCCAAATATGCTTCGATACGTGAACAGACTGATACCTCAATAATGAACCATCCTCCGGCTCAGGATTTAAAACCCTACTCCGCGATGAAGATGATGTCATCTGATATGAAATTGGTCAACTTAAACTTAAATTATGTACTTAAAATTAATAATATAAAAATTCTATGGTTTTTAGTACATGGGTTTTATTACAATTATTTAACTCTAACAATTTCAAAATTTAAAATTAACTCTAAAATTTATTTCATTTAATTATTATATTGTTAATTTTTATTAACATTATAAAAAAATTTAAATTTTATTTTACAATTATAATTTGTAGCAATAAATACAATTACATGCACTCTTTTAAATATTATATATAATTTCTTATTTACTTTGAATTATAAACAAAGCATACTTTCATGCACTAAGTTCACTTTGTGTATCAAATTTTACAATTACAACAAATAAACAAATACATAATTTTAAATATTATATATAATTTTTAATATACTTTTTTTTTTTGTAATTCAACCACAAAATCATTATTTTCTTAATTTCATTAAAGTGTTCCCTCACAATACTTAAAGTTTATTTCTATTTAAAGTTTAATTTTATTATTATATTAATTATTGAAAAATTTAAACGGTTCAATAATTACCATGGATTTATATATAAAAAAAAACATTGTTTCTAAAAATTTGTACAAGTTTTTGTGTTAAGGGTTGGCAAAAAAAAAACATTCAAAGATGTTTTATTTGTTAGATTATAAAGAATACTAGTTTTGACGATAGTTCTTACAAGTTATCAAGTAATATATAGTATTTTTTTTCTCTTAATTTATCAATTAATTAAAATAGAAATTTTTTTATATAATAATTAATACATATTATGGATTCCTATAATTTTTATTTATTATATTTTTAAACAGCTAATTATAAATAATAACACATATATTATATAATTTGTAATAATAAAACTTTTGTTATGTTAATTTTCATAAAATCATTATTATCTTGATTTATTATAATTATTCAATAATTATCTTATTTCTTAATAATTATATTATATTTACTATATCTAATATTTTTAATTTCACTAATTTTTTTATATATCAATCTACTATCAAATACTTAAAATTAATTATTTCTTCTACACTAATTATTTAATATTTTCACTGCATTCTATATATATTTTTCATGTTCATTTTTTCAAAACTATATTTTAATATATAGTATTCTTTCCTCTCTTAATTTATCAAGTTATTCAGAATTTTTTTAATTTAATAATTAATACATATTATGGATGACTATAATTTTTATTTATTACATTTTTAACAAATGGTTATAAATAATAACACATACATTATATAATTTTTAATTTCATTCATATCTAAAATATTTTTTGTTTAAGAATATAATGCATTTTAAAACCAATTTTATACCTTATTTATAAAATCCTTTCAACGAAATTAGATAAATTATAAAATTTGTAAAAAATAATAATGTATTATTTTTTACCAAATTAAATGCTACATTCTTACTAATAATAAAACTTTTGTTATGTTAATTTTCATAAAATCATTATTATCTTGATTTATTATAATTATTCAATAATTATCTTGTTTCTTAATAATTATATTGTATTTACGATATCTAATAATTTTTATTTCACTAATTTTTTTATATATCAATCTACTATCAAATAATTAAAATTTATTATTTCTTCTACGTTAATTATTCAATATTTTCACTGCATTTTATATATATTTTTTCATGTTCATGTTTTTTATTTTTTTCTAAACAATATATTTATATATATTATTCTTTTCTCCTAATTTATCAAGTTATTAAAATAGAATTTTATTTTAAATTTTATAATTAATACATTTTATGGATTACTATAATTTTTATTTATTACATTTTTGAACAACTAATTATAAATAATAACATATATATTATATATTTTATAATATAATTTATCTAATATATTATTTGTTACAGAATAAATAAATTAATTTATAAAATATTTAAAAATTAAAATTAATTTGTGCACCTCCGCAGCTTTGATTTGAATTTGAAGGAACCCTCTTCTTCACCAGCACCACTCACTCACGAGCATTCATCCATAATTTTACCTGCATCACAGATTCAATATTACATACATGCAATTTTATTTTAAAAAGTAAAATATATTCAAAATATTAATCTCGTTACTTTTTAATAATTTTTTGCTAAAAAACCTTAATACCAGAACCTAACAAAATGCTAAGAAACATTGTTGCTGGTTTTTTTTGGGGCAACCACACAACCTCTGCATGCGAAATGGAGAAGATGGAGGAGAAAGGGAAGAAAGGAGAAGCACGCGCCCAAACGGTCAAAATACTCTACCACGTGGATCAATAAAAGGAGTGTTGTCCCTGACCTAGACGACTACTCTGAATCGTCCCTGACCCCATTGACACTGACATCAGCTCTGACTCAGACGAATCTGTAAGATTTTTACACATGGCTTCGTTCATCCCTAGTCGTCCATTCCGTTTTAATAATTTCTAATTTTTTTCATTTTTTTACGTGTCCCACAAAGACTGGTGTTATTTGGTAATTGGACGTTTTTATTTTTTGGTGTCGTCCCTGTGCTGGACGACTTCATTGTCACGTGGCCAACAAACCCTACACAGAGAATTTCTTTGCATGCATGCTTATTTTGGTATTTTGTTTTCAAATTAACCACAAAAGGACAAAAAACTCGTTATTTCCCCCATAATCTGGTTCTTTATAACTATTGTTTAAATTTTAAAATTATTTAAACAACAACTATTTTGAATAAGGTGTTTGTTGCTATCCTAAAAGCGCTAGTTAATAATATCTTTTTATTCCAAAATTATAATAAAAATATGCTAATAGTTTGTTTCAAAACTATTATAATAAAAGCGCTAGTTTATTTTAATTTTTTAATCAGCATTCTCAAAATACTGATTAACATTTAACTTTTGTCTAACGAAATAACGTATTTTGAGAATAAAAGAATTAATAGAGTCTTCTTTTTTATATATTTTTGTTTCAAAAAATAGTCCTTTTGTTAAGATAATTGTGAAGCTATGTTATTTTTTCACTTACAATAATAATAATAATAATAATATATTTGTAAAAAAATGATAATTCACATTTTTTAATTCAAAATATTTATAATATTCATAATATGTATACAACATTCTAAAGTAACACTTTTGTGGGAGTAGTTTATTTAAAAAAAATAAGAAAATATTAATTTAAATATTAATTTTTATTTTTTAACGAATAAAATAGTATTTTACATGCAGTAATATTCCGTTGAACAATATTATATTATAATAATATATATTTTATGTGTTAAAAGTATAAGTTATTATTTTTAAAAGAAAATACTTCGATAAGTTTTTTTATTATATTATATGATCTTTTTATATTAAATATTTTTAAAGTTTTTTATAATTTTTAATTTTTAAAAATAATATTTTTACTATTAAAATATTACTTATTATATATTTTAATTTAGTAATGCTTGTATTTTATAAATTAAATTATAATGTAGAGAAGGAGGAGGGGCTGAAAGGCAGAACAGCCAAAAAAAAAAAAAAAAAACTCTATTCTTATTTAAATAAATCTATATTCGCTTAAAAAAAAGGTTCAACTGTCAAATTTTCGCATGAACTATTTATATTTTAAAGGGTAAGGAGTGTCATATCATCAACAACGATGATGAAAACTGAGTCCAGAACTTTACTGTGATCGCCAACTCAGTGATTCAAATGGGCTAAGTGATCCAATAATAATGTTTCCCTTTGGATTTTGTGCCCTCGGCCCTTTGATTATTTTGTAAGATTAAAATAAAATAAATGATTTTGGTCCTCTTTTTAGACAAAACAAAAAGGCCTTTTTTTAGTTTTAATATATATTTTTAGGAGGTTTTACTCGGAAAATATTTTACATTACTGTGAATGACGTGGGAAAAAATTAGTAGCAAATTATTACCACACTTTTCTTACATTATAACATTATAAAAACTTATCCTGAAAGTATCAGAATAACACAATTAATGTTACAACTTATTGCGAAGCTTGCACACCATTTGCCAAGTAACCAAAATACATCGTTCATCAATGTTATACAACACAAGACGATCTTTCCTTTATTGAAGTATATATGCAAAGTGTTGAATAACCAACTCATTTAATAGAGCTGAAAAGCCCCATCTTGTATAATTAGTGGGTACGAAGTGTCAGTAGCAAATGGAGTGAAGGTAGTAAGTGCAGTATTCTCCACCATCTATAAAATACAATGTATAGCATATTACAATATGCTTCTAAAGAAAATGTGTACTTAACAAACCGAAACGAGTTATTACCTTATCGTGGAGATATTTATTTGTCGCTTTAAGTGTTCCCTCCTGATTCCAAAAGGTAAAAAGTTGATTCAGTCATTAAGGCCAAATCATATCTAAAAGGATCCAACTACAACTTGATTAATGCAAATCGAAAAGGCAACATATTGTAAATGAAAATGAAAATAGAATTCCCATTAGAAAAAGGTTTACAACTATAATTTAATATATAATTATTTTTGTTGCTATAGTTTAATTTCTCTTCACTTTATATAATGATAAAAAATTTTACAGTATAAATGCGATTTATAAATTTACAAACGAGGAGAAACTGACATGTAAAATATTTTAAAACATAAATATAAATTTAATAATAACTTTATGCTAACCTTATCTCTCAGTGCTTGAATTTCTTGCAACAAGATGTTCATCTGCTTCAACATATGCATACCAGTTATTCATTCGTATCCATCATATAAAAACAACCATAACGGAGTTTGTCAGTACCTTCATCGAGCGAATATGATATATCCAAACCTCGAGATTCTTCTCCAGCACTTGTAATTCGTCTATTGTCATTGTGCCATTGCCTCCTTCAAATAAATACCTAAAACCAAGATCAAAATACTGTCATTTAGTTTTCCACGTTATTTTTTTATGACTCATACAAGTTACAATCATATTTAAATAGTGATTGATTTCTTCTAAACTACTATAAACATAATACAATTACAACTATGTTTAGGAGACATCTTGATCTGAAAAACAAAAAGTGCCTTGCTATCTCATGGCGAGCTTTTGGTCTCTCTCTCTCTTTTGATCTTGTAACTTGCATTTCTATACTTCGAGAAAACTAACCATGGTCTTGTCATGATGTAAAAGCCTAGCTAAAAAAGGGTTGAAATAGGTCATATACTTCTTTCGATAACTGGCTTTTACTTAAAAAAATAAAATAACATTGTCATATTTTAATTTGTTAGAAGATATATAACTAAAGAATATATGATACCTGATACCCTTTTGCAATGTTTCAATTTCTTGTTTTAGCACATTGGTTTCCTCTTTTGCATCCTAGACAACGATTACAAGATGAAATGAGAAGGATTCTTGATAAAATAATATCATCATAATAGAACAGAGTAATAAATTGTTAATAATAATTAATAATGACAACAGAAAATTAGATACATGATAGGATATAATTGTAAAAGTGCTGGCATATGCATCTACGTACAACACATTGCAGTATCAAGCATCAACGTTTCACATATAACAGTAATTTTACATGCACTCAATTTATACTTTCATTATAAAACATCATTTTTTTTCACTTTTTTCTTTCTTTTTTGTTCTTTCTCTAATGATCTATTATTTTACGTAAGAAACGTAGAAGAGTATAAGAAAGTGTTGTTAAAGCAATATTTTTCTTAAAGTAAATATATCGATAGAGCATGTTTAGAGTTTTTATTCTAAAATTCGCCATTAATGTAAATTATTCGACTCTATATCAGGGAAGTTGTTATTGTACTCGTATTCAAAGGTTTTCTGCCGGCACGAGTTGCAGAATACTCATAAGTATTTAATAAGTTATTAAATATTTCTCAACAAGTAACCATTATCTTGACAAGGATGGGCATCGCCATAAGTTATACTCTTAAAAATTTTAGAAGCTTATCAACATAATTCATTTATTGTCTTAGTAGAACATGTCTCAAGTTTTAAACCTCCACATTATATATATATATAATACGAGTTACATTTTCTTTGCATGCAAAAACTAAAAATTAATGCTATATTTTTTTATTAATTCTCCTAATGGGCGTGGATATGACATTAATACATGATCTCAACCCCCCAAACCCGATCTCTGTCAGTACGTAAATTTTTTCAAACTAGGGATGATACATATAATCTCAATCAAATGGTGTAGGACCCGCTCAGTTTCAACTCACTATTTGTTAAACATGTGAATGTATTACACTTAAACCCCTCTTAACTTAATCTGTAAGCGAGTAGTCATGCTAAATCTTTTAAGCACGATATACTTTATATCTTACAGAATCTAACCCTATATGTGTCAAAATGCAGTGGGAAGAGAACAAAACATTCAGTGATTATATAATTTATTTGGCATACTATTATCGTCATTCTCTACTTAAATTTATTATTTTATTGTTCAATATTCATTGATGATAATGCATCATGCAAGCAGCATCGAATACCACTCATCCTTTTACATATTATAATAATAAGGATAATTATTCCACTTTACTTTGACAGCAAATAAGCTTGCTTTATTGGCTTAGCTTTTTTCTTATATATTTTCCTAGGGTTCTTGGAATTGCACACTTGGCAAAAAGAGAGAGACATAGATGAGTGCTAGCGTACCAGAGGATCTGCTTCAGTAGTGACTGCTTCAGGCTGGGGCCCCCCTGTGAACTTCATGTACCTCTCAATGAGCCCTTGCATGGTCCTTTTTCATGCATATAAATGAACGATGCATGCAGAAAAAGTCAAAGTGAAAAGCATCAGAGACCATAATATATACATGTTTATTTGTTTGAGTGTATATGTGTGTGTATAGAAAAAGAGAGAGTGAGAGAAAAACCCTTTGGTGGCAAGTTCATAGAGCTTTCCATGGGCGGAGAAAATGACAAGGCCAATTTCAGCATCGCACAGCACAGAGAGCTCCTTAGCCTTTTTGAGAAGCCCTGCTCGGCGCTTGCAGAAGGTAACTTGTCTGTGCACTGGGTTCTCAATTCGCTTCAGCTGAACCTTTCCGCGAGCCATTGATGATCAATGATGGATCGTTGTGATGAGTATTGAGTTTGAGTTTTTAGTTTTTTTGTGCGCTTCTATGCACACAACCTCCCACTAGTTTGAACTAGCTTCGAGGTTGCTGCAGGCAGGTACGTGGTACCCTTTGTCAGAGTTTCTACCAATTTTGCTTCTATTTGTGGGATTGAAGGCCTTATATAACTGTTGTAACATTTAGCCTTCCACCAAGGGAATCGCCGCTTATTAAAATATAATAATAACAATAACCTTAATGACATGCATGTAATTAATTATAAGAAATTTATGCAGCAACTTTACACCTCACTAAGTTTTGTTTACTCTCTTATATTCATGATCATTTTGTAGTGTATGGGTTCCACTTAATTTGATGATAAATCAAATCAAAGCATGTGATACTAAAGGTGATCTGGTCATTTCAGCCTTAGAATATGGTTCATTTTACTAAAATATTTCCTCACAGGCTTTATTCTTGTATACTATAGGGCTACATAGGTGGAAATTCTACATATTTTATCTTTGGTGAATGGAGCAAACTATTATATGCCATGCTACTCTGTTATGCACTTAATAGCGACTGCTTTTTGCATGCTTTCATCCATTAGATTAACACGGGAATGGCTTCCCTTGTGGATGCTAACTTATACTGAACAGTTTTGGAATAAAACCAGGAATCAAGTAAAGTTGAAGAATGTTAGTCATAAAACGGTCTTGAGCTAAACTATTATTAAATCACATCAAATCTAACAACTATTCCGCTGATAGGTTGATATCTGTTTTCGTTATCATAGTGCACTCTGCACTGAACTACAGAACGAGGAATCATATCATATTAATATCATTACATATAGTCAAAACAAAATCCGAATTTTATTGCCTAGCAATGCGGTCCAATCATTCAAACTAAATAATACAATAGGGGGGAATTGGGGAAATAGCTTAAATTAAAACGGAGCAAAGAATGCTTCTAAAGAAAGCTGAGTGCCACTAGGTATAATGTAATTGACGACATATCTTTTTAAACTCTTGCCATTGGCTCTTGCTTCTTGGTTTATAAATTAAAAAAAAAGCATTAAGTTAAATCACCATAAATTAAATTAACGCTAAAGAAACAATCGTCAGGATAGTGTTATTTTCAAGACTAGAATATCTGCTGATATGAAATATAGTAATAGCAGAAAATGGATAAATATGAATCTAGGGGTTGCATTAATAACAGGGGAACCTTTTACACTGGCAACTCCCAAATAATATGAATATTCATGACATGGGTATGCCTACTATAGCTGTAAGGATAACTGGAGCTAAAACTTATCAACTTTATACATGGTTGTTGCCCAGAGACTTTGTATTTTTTTTCCTCCTGTCATCTGTGGGACAATAAGAATTCCCGATTCCCTGAAAATAGGATGCAAGATAAAGATTGCATCCATGTATATAGCTTTCACTTTTCAAAAACTTTGGTCAAAAGGAAAGGGGCGTATAAAAGCGGAATTCAATTGCCAAATCTTGAGCGAGGCCTTGATGTTTATGTCTGTTGCATTATTGAACAGAAACAATCTTGCAGCTCCATATATTGCTTCTGTTGGATAAACTCTAGATGTAATCACAGTTCTCCCTCCCTGGGCAAAGCTCTCAATTATTGAATGGTCAACCTGATCCATCATATTGCAAAATTATTCGTCACAACAACCAACATATCAATATCAACACAAGAAGAAAAATTAAGGGGTTTACCCCTTCAAATTTGGTTTTTATTTCAAAATCGTCTTCTAACTTTTTTTTTTTTTCAATTCAATCTATGTATGTGTTAGACTGTTAGTATTTTCTTATGCGAAAACTAAATTTAAGCGTAAACTCTTGGATTTATTCTTAAAATTATATGCCTCAAATATTTTAGTTTATAATTTTATAAAAAAAATATTAGTCTTTAGCTTTTGTAAACAGCATTTACTTAATAAATGACAGTAATTAAAAAATAATAGCTGGCCTATAATAAAGTTAAAAGACTAATAAAAGAAATAAATTTAAAGAATAAAATTCCTCACCACACAACCTCGTTTATTCCTAAATTTAGTGACAGAAAATAAAAGCAACAACGAGTGGCTGATGTATGAAGAGGTAGCTGTTAGATAACATATGCTGACACAAAAGAATGTTATTAACACATACCAATACCCTCGTTGATAGCTTTTCATCGCTGAGAACTGGAACTTTGCTTCCAAAAACGAGCTTTGAAACATCCGGAGCCTTTGATGACCTACATTATCCAATTACTTCATTACATGTGCATGTAATATAATCACAGTCAGCATGAGATTTCACAGTTTCAGCCTTCGGTCTTTTCTTCTAAAAAAGAAAGAGACAAATGAAAATCAGTACCTAGTTTCATCAACACAGAAGGAAGTGGTCAAACTGCCATTGCTAGTAGTGCTAGAAAGACGGAAATAAACTGGTGTTAGCTCAGAAAGTTGGTCATCTGCTATAGCCAGAATGCCAAAAGGTCCCAAAGCACTTCTTTCAACAGCTCCATCTCCACACCCTACATTGTCCTCGCCAATCTCTTCAGATGCCAAGAATTCAATCTCAAATTCCGCAAATATATCCAACTGAAAATTTTCAAGAAATGGGTGATGAGTCTGTAGAATTGAAAACCCGATAGAGGAGAAAAAATTGTATGTATATTTCTCACACATTTATCAAATAATACAATGATCAATTTATAAGATAAAAGATTTAAATTCTATTAATAGCCATAAACTACAATCAAAACTCATTATAGCTATTTATCAAAAATATAACTGCTGACTCTTGGCCTTTTATTCTAACAAAAAAACTGATGAATTAAAATCATTAAAACCGACATTTAAGTTTATTTAACAAAACTCCTCCGTAAACTTAAATGCTTCTGCCATCCTTCATGCCGATCAATTTCTTGCAGTTGTCAAAAAGTACTGTCGGTAGCAGTTTCGTAAAAATATATGCGTCTTGATCTCGACTTGCCACGTGCACTAATTCCACATTTCCTTCTTTTACATGATCTCAGATGAAATGAAAGCGAATGTCAATGTGTTTGCTTCTCTCATGATTCACTGGGTTCTTTGCAAATTCAATTGCTGATTTTTTGTCAACTCGTATCACAGTCGCACCGATTTGTTGTTGCTCCAATTTGCTCAACAGATTTCTGAGCCATATTGCATGACATACACACCCAGATGCTGCCACATATTCAGCTTCACATGTTGAGTGCGTCACGATTGGTTGCTTCTTTGAAAGTCAAGTAAAAGCCGTGTTACTCATAAATAACACATACCCTGATGTACTTTTCCGATCGTCTAAGTCTCCGCACCAGTCACTGTCAGAGTACCCAATTAACTTGTAATCTTTCGCTTTCGAATAAAATAACTCTAGTGATACCCGTTCCTTGGATATACCTTAAAATCCGCTTCAACGCCTTCTAATGTGAATAAACTGGCTCCTCCATGAACTGACTTACAATGCCAACACTTAACGAAAGGTCTGGTCTGGTGCATGTGAGATAGCGAAGGCTTCCCACCAAACTTCGATATTTGCTCGCATCAACTTGTTCTCCTCCATTGAATTTAGAGAGTTTTGCACCCGGTTCCATTGGTGTTGATACAGGATTGCAATGTGTCATCTTGTATTTTTTTCAAAATCTCCTTCACACATATTTCCTGTGACACAAAAATATCCGTCTCTTCTTGTCTTATCTCCAAACCAAGGAAAAACTTCATCAAGCCCAAATCTGTCATCTCGAATTCTCGTGCCATTGTGCTCTTAAACTCTTGTATCATTTCACCATTGTTCCCCATAAAAATGAGGTCATCAACATAAAGAGCAACAAATAACATATTACCTCCACTCTTCTTCACGTAAAGGGCATGTTTATAGGGACATTGCTCAAACCCGTTCTCCATGAAGTATGTATCAAAGCGAGAATTCCATGCCCGCGGTGCTTGCTTCAACCCGTAAAGTGCCTTTTTCAATTTCAGCACCTTCTTCTCTTCTCCACTTTTCATGTACCCGGGTGGTTTTTCGATGTAGATTTCTTCTTCGAGCACTCCATTCAAGAATGCCGACTTGACATCCATTTGGAATGAGCAATCGGATTGTCTCCATTCTTGTAACGGGAGCAAATACCTCATCATAGTCAATTCCCTCCTTTTGCTTGTATCCCTTTACAACAAGCTGCGCCTTGTACCGTTCTATCTTGCCTTGAGCATTCATCTTTCTCTTGAACACCCACTTCACACCAATGGGCTGACTCCCTTTCGGCAACTCTGTTAACTCCCATGTGTTGTTGCGGTCAATTGCTCTAATCTCCTCATCCATGACAATTTGCCACTTCTTGTCTCGCACCGCCTCTTCAAAGCTTATATTCTCGGAATCTGCCAAAAGACATACAATGTGTACCTCATTTGTCGAATCATACAAATCTTGCAAACTTCGCATTTTGGGTTGTTGCGGTTCATCTTCATCACTAGTAGTTTCAGGATTTGTCGGTATGATTGTTGGTATAGCGGTTAATGATTCTCCATCTTCGTTGATAACTTTCATTGAGTTACTCCAATCCCACTCGCTTGCTTCATTAACTTGTACATCACGACTCACCACAACCTGCTTGCTTATTGGGTCTAGTAGCTTGTATCCTTTTGTTTTGTTGTCATACCCAATAAAAACATACCTTTTGCTTTTTGTCTTCAAGTTTCGTTTTACGCTGATTCGGCACGTATGCATAGGCCACACTACCAAATACTTTGAGATGAGAAACTATTGGTTTTTGTCGCTCCATGCCTCTTGTGGTGTTTGATCATCTAGCTTCGCATGTGGACACTGATTTTGCACATAGATAGCGCATTGTACGGCTTCTGCCCAAAATTCTTTCGGCATCTTCTTGCTCTTGAGCATTGATTTAACCATATCAAAAATAGTCTGGTTCTTCCTCTCGGCCACACCGTTTTGTTGGGATGAGTACGGTGCAGTTAAAAATCGCCTTATGCCTTGTGCCTCACAATACTCCATGAAAGTCATCGAAGTATACACGCCACCTCTATCGGATCGTACTGATTTGATGTGTCTACCGATTGCTTTTTCCACCACCACTTTGAACTTTTTGAACCCCTCAAATGCATCAAATTTTTCTTTCAAAAAATAAACCCAAGTTTTTCGTGAGAAATCATCAATAAAGGAAATAAAATATCTCTTACCGCTAAAAGATTCAGGAGTGATTGGTCCACATATGTCGGTATGAATCAATTGGAGAGGTTCCTTAGCATGATATTCTGCCTTCTTTTGAAATGAAGTTCTCGCATGCTTGCTGAGCACACATTCTTCACAAAATTTGTTCTCATAGTCCATGTCCGGTAGTCTGTGCACCATGTTCATCTCTGCCAACTTGTTTAGACCACCATGATGTAGGTGACCAAAACGGAAATGCCACAGCAACGCCTTGTCTTCTACGTTGACTCGTAAACATTTTTCTCGAACGCTTCTCAAATTCAACTTAAACATGTGATTTCTCCCCATTTCAACTCGAGCAACCAAATGCTCGTATTTATCTTTCAAGTGTAATATCCGGTCTTTCATAAATGCCGAATATCCTTTCTCTATGAGTTGTCCCATACTCAAAATGTTCTTTTGAGAGCTGGTACGTAATATACATCTTGGATTAATCCAACTAAGCCATCCTTTTGTAAATAACAAATTGTACCTTGGCCTTTGACTTCAACCTTCGATGCATCTCCAAATGACACATGTCCAGTTTCAACCTTTTGCATCTCTTTGAATAAGTGCTTGTGCCCGCACATATGATTGCTTGCGCCCGTGTCAAGGTATCACACCGTGTTATTATTGGTGTTGACTTCATTGTGTGCCATCAAGAGAAAACCTTCTTTTGCTTCCACATCTTCCGTGACTAAATTGGTTGTCTCTTCCACCTTTTTCTCCACGCGACATTCTTTCGCAAAATGCCCCACCTTGCCACAATTGTAACACTTATCGGAGTTACAATCCTTTGCATAGTGACCATATTTGGCACACTTGTAGCACTCGATGTTGGAATAATTCGATCGACTGCCTCTCCAACGACCACGTCCTCTTCCACGCCAATTTTGCTGGTTTGAATGTTCTTTCTCCTCATAATATTCTTCTTGACTGCGACCTCTACCACCGCGACCATTTCCTCGACTTCCATGACCACGCCCTCTACCTCGAATGTTTTGAGAATATAGTGCCTTTTCATCTTTGATTGATGCCTTGGTTTGAAGTGCTTGCTCAAGTATCTCCTCCTCCTTCTTCTTCTTACGTTGTTCGTGTGCCTCGAGAGAACCAGCGAGCTCGTCGACCGTGAGTATTGTTAGGTGTTTTGACTCTTCTATAGTACATACGACATTTTCAAAGCTGTCGGTTAACGACCTCAAAATCTTCTCCACAACTCGTGCATCAGTTAAAACTTCTTCGTTTCGGTTGAGTTGGTTCACCACGGTTTGAACACGCGTGATGTAGTCAGAGACCCCTTCCGACTCTTTCATTTTCATGCTTTCCAACTCACCACGAAGAGTTTGAAGGCGGACTTGTTTAACCCGGTCAGCTCCTTTGTACACATTCACCAAAATGTCCCACGCTTCTTTTGAAGTTGTTGCATTTGCAATCTTCTCAAAGCCTGACTTGTCAACAGCTCGAAACAACAAGTACAAAGCTGCCTTATCTTTTGATCGCGTCTCTTTCAACGCCTTGTGTTGAGCCGCCGAATATCCTGTGGTAGTTTCTAGTTCTTTGAAACCTTCTTCGACCACCTCTCAACCATCTTGTGATCCAAGAAGAGCTTTCATTTGGATGCTCCAATTCTCGTAGTTCGCCTTCGTTAGTCGAGGCAGCGGCACATTATTGGTCACACTCGCCATAGGCTCTTGATACCAAATTGTAGAATTGAAAATCCGATAGAGGAGAAAAAATTGTATGTATATTTCTCACACATTTATCAAATAATACAATGATCAATTTATAAGATAAAAGATTTAAATTCTATTAATAGCCATAAACTACAATCAAAACTCATTATAACTATTTATAAAAAATATAACTGCTAACTCTTGGCTTTTTATTCTAACAAAAAAACTGATGAATTAAAACTATTAAAATCGACATTTAAGTTTATTCAACTGAGTCCACTATTTGCAACTTATAATGCAACAAATACTAAGTGCGTGTTTGGAAAAATCTTACAACACTTATAAACATGAATTTAACGCATAAATTATAACTAGTATAATTGAAGTAAACGCATATCTGTTATGTAAACGTGTCTACGTTTATTAGGTGCAACTTTTTCCTTAGATGCATGTTTATAAGTTGTTTTATCGTGTTTCCAAGCACACGCTATAAGTGAATAGCTTATTGCTATCATTAGCAAACCTGTGTGGCTGGGCCTATGTCCAGTGGCACAACTGAGCCTGGTTTGACCACAACATCTTCAAATTCAGAACTGCTTAGTCTTAAGCTCTCTACTTCTTCCACTGGCCACTGAACCACATTACTTCTCGTCTTCTTGTCAAACACAACTGTTCTTGGAATTGTCTGATTTCCAAAAATAAAATAAAAAAAATTGTGGGTCAGAAGTCATACAACCTTAATTAAATCACCATGTATGAAATTTTATAATTGACTCTTTCAGCACTGTAAAATTGATATTTTCGTCAAATTAATACTACGTGTGTAAAAAAATGCAAAGTTGAATGCTAATGTGCGAGACAGAGTCGCCTTCAAGTGTTCGACAAACTCTTGTTTAGACTTAACCCCTCTAATTTGGATGCACTTAGCAACTGTTTACTTCGGGCTTGAGCTCAGTATGCATATTTACTACATTCACAATTTTTGAACTCACGATATTATCAAAAAGGAATTCATTTTCTTGAGACTCGGACTAATACTTCCTTATTTAATTGCATTGCATAAAAAAATTCATTAAGTGGTACAAGGAGTGTAATCCCCTTTAATAAGATTTGGTGGTCTTGTCAATGGAAAAAATACAAGACCACCAAACTTGATTGTTTCTTAAATGAGTTCACTTAAGATGATGATAATCAAAATCACCAAGTGATACCGAGAATTTCAGGCAAAAAGAAGCAAGGACACTAAGGTTTATAAAATAATTTCTCGTAACGTTATTGGTTATATACTGGGGGCAAAAATATTCCGTACCTGAAGCGATGCCCAACCTTTTTTCAAGTCAGAACTTTCGGAATCCGATTCATTAATCCAACCCCACAGGACCCTTCTTTGTTTGAGTTGGTCATAAAAAGTCTTAGAAGCATAGTATCTGCCATAGTCCAATCTCAACCCAATACCCACATCCTCGTACGGGTTATCGGGCACCCACGTGTCATTTTCAGTGAAGTAAGTCCCAATCGCATAATGATCCTCTTTTGTATCATCCAAACTAGCCTTCAACACGTGTTTCACTTCAGGGCCATTTACAGAGGTATCCAAACCTTGAGACCCGTTTATTGAAACCGGGTAAAAGTCCACGCACTCCCACATACCCGTACCCGGTACATGATGCAAATAGTGATCGTTGAGCTGATAGTGGATGAAATCATGGGTTTTATAGAGCAATGAAAGACCTGTTTTGTTGAGCTTTGAACCAATGGCGATCCTCCATTTGTGATCAGGGCCAATCCACGCAGTTGTGGGGTCACGAAAATCCTTTGAACCAATGCCGGGTGGGGGCAGCAACACGGGATTATTGGCATATTTGACCCAACCTAGGAGGAGGGGATCAGATAGGTTGGCGGGGTAGGCAAGATTTTGGACTTGCACATATTGATCGGTATCACCCGTGTAGAGCATCACGATTTTGCCATCTGGCAAAACGGTGGCGGATCCTGACCATACACCGTTGATATCAAACCAGGTATCTGGAAGCAAGGCAATGGGAAGGTAGAGCCAGTGAATCAAGTCCCTCGATACAGCGTGGCCCCATGTTATGTTGCCCCACACCGCTGAGTCAGGATTGTATTGGTAAAATAGATGGTACCACTCCATGTGAAACAATGGACCTGCAAGTTTAAACAGATGAGCACGAGAGAAACATGAAGCATCCCAGGGATGGTAGGTAAGCATCTTACAGTTTCCCATTTTGATGGTAATAAGTGAATATACTAGTATACACTAGTATAATGATTTAAGTATTTAAAATAATATTTTTACAAATTTATCTATTGCATTAAATTTATACAAAGTATAATTAAAATACTACAAAATTTCCATCCAATAAAACTTTCCACAGCTGCTGAATTCTTTAACTATCTAATTTCTATTTATGGAAATCAATTTGCAGTGTAAAATATGTCATTTGTAAACAAATAAACAAAAATATAAAATATAAAGAGTACAATTCCCAAATTATAAGACATACCGTTAGGATCTGAAGCAGATTCAACCAAACACATACGAACCGCATTCCCAATATGGCAAGAAGGCATTCTTAGTTAGTCTCTTCATCATAATTTACACCAATAAAAAAAAGAATAAGGAAAAATGGAATAATTAGACTCCAATTTTTTAAAAATGACATTTTAAAATTATTTTACGTATATAATTTATTTTTTAATTATTACATATTATAATAAATAATTTTTCTAAATTAGAAACTAAAAATGTATTAATTTTATGAAAAATTATATAGATTGAAAGTAACTAAAATTTAAATATAAATTGAAAAGAAAAAAGAGATATATTCTTTGAATGAAAACTATGTCTAAGCCAAAAATATATTAAAGATGACAAAAGTTAGACACCTCCCAAAAAGTTGGAGAGGAAAAAAAGCACACAAATTAATGAAAATAGACATTTGAGTGATTCTTAGTAAAACGCAGTAGTGTAACGTAATCACATAAAATAATGACAATTACCGTTCATCCAGTTCTTTTGAGGTTGAAAATGGAAAGCTGATCTTTGCCAAGATAACATGGCATTTGTCCAATTATATGGAACTATGTGTGAAAGATATGGGTTTGACTTGGCAGAAACCCCCTCAGCAACCCCTCTCGTCTTTAATGGCAGCTGAGACATGGTTTCCGCTGTGAAAGCCTTCATCATAGTATTGTTTTGCTGCTTTTGTAAATTATGCTCATCACTATTGTTTATGATGAGTGCAAACAATGACATTAGGAAAACCATGGAACCAATGATCACAAGGGTACCCTTTTGTGCTCTCCACCCACTTTCCCTTGTTACAGAAGAATTAGGAGGACTCTTCAGCAAGGGAATGCGTGGAGCATTCTCAATATCAGAGTTTATGGCCTCCATCTTCTTGTGTTAGTGCTCACAAATTAACAAAATGAAACATAAATATAGAGACAGAACAAGAAAGAAAAAACAAGTGTATTGAAATATGGATCACCAATAATTATTATCATAGTATGGGAAGTTGGATTGGTAGCTCAAATCTAAGTGGAGGGCAGAAGACGGAGAAAGATAAAAAGGGCATGGACAGGTAGGCTTCTTTAATGCATGTATATACAATAATAATGCAGAAAAATTAATACACTTCTTTTAATTATTTGTTAAAATTTATTAAAAATTATAAATTTAACGTGAATTATTTTTTATTATTTTTAATAAATTTTAATCAAAATTTGGTTGGAGAATGTTGTTCATGTATTTTATGGACAACGTGGAGAAGGACAGGTAGGATCTTACGATAAAGATTTGAAATTCAAACATAGTTTATGGGTATGATTTGTGAAAATTAAAACTTACTAATTTGACATGTTGATCTTGACTGTTAATCAAACAAAGGCTGCACGCAATTCGGATTATGTACAAGTTTTCATTTTCTTGGACGGCTATGTTGAAAATTAAAATAATAATATAATCATGCAGGTCAATCAAATTGTTAGAAATAGCTGGCTCATTAAAAGTTCAATCTTAAAATATTTTAATTTTAGCTAAGAAGAGGTACAAATACACGTTTTTATTTTTTATATTTTTTTAATACAAGAAGTTTATAATTTTTATGACATGAATTATAAATAAATATCAATGCATTTTTATTTTTTTATTTTTTTAACATGGAAATATTTATTAAATACATAATCAATAAATTTAAAATAAATTATATATTTGAAAAAAAATTAATTAAAAAATTAGTTAAATAAATTAGATTCAAATCTTATATTTTTAAATAAAATTAAAATAAAAATAAAAATTTAACTTATTTAAATAAATGAACAAATCTGAGTGCTCTCTCGCTTTCACTGTCAATTTCAGTAATTTGCATGATAATTTCAATAATTTGTACTAAATGCAGCAACAAATTAAAATATTACAAAATAACGAGCCTTAATTAGCTGCACAAAATTAAATAACTATAATAGCCTAATTCTAAATAACTAAACTGATTGAATAATTTGATTTTGGCTGGTACGATTTTTTTCAAGAAAATTGAACTAATGTTAACCTAATTATTTAAGATTTATCGATCGGAATGCTATTTTCACTTGAACCTGAACTAAACTAACTAGTGATTACTCTTAATTTAAGATTAATTGTTTACAAACTTTTTACTGGAGTAGCATTACATGGGCCAATTTGTTAACTAGAGACACAATCATCGTTTTATGTATAGAATGTTTTGTTATTTCATTACAATTTATTCTAATTCTTTTAATTTGTGTATATGCATTATAAATTTACTACTTATCCCTAATATAAAAGATGTATTGTGAAGTGATGTCAATTTTTGTTTTTATAACCTTCCATTATTATATGTTTGCATGGATTTACTTGAATACATGTGTATGTAACATTGTTTTATAGTTAAAAATTAATGTTTACATTTTTTAACCAAAACTCAACCTCAGAGTGCTAAAACAAAATTTTCTAATTTCATTTTTAGTGATCTATTCACGGCATCATACTCTTTCAAATTTATTTAAAAAGTTATACGAAAAATATACTCTAAAATAACCTTATTACCAATTCTTCCAATTTCGATAGACTAATACGCCAAGTCCTTAACAGTATAAACTTGTCAACCAAGTTTATATGATGGACAGATTTTGATCTGAGTGTTGGTAGACAATTCTGATCAAGCAATATGCGTGTGCATGACAAACGACATGTCATATTATGTCTAAGGAAAAAGATATATTGTCAAAAAAAAATTACGTAATAGATGTTCTTAATTAATTTCAAGTGTTTAAAAACAATAATAAAATCACAGTTTTAATTATTGAGTAAATTTTAATAAAGTTTTTCAAATATTCATCTGTTTACAATGGTAAAAATTAGGTCATTCAAAAAATCTTTTAATCTTAATGAAGTACTGATTCAGTAATCACATACAAATATGTAACATAAATTTGATCATAAAATTTGTTAGTATAAATAAAAAATAATTATAAACTATTGATATAAGTTCTCTTTTTTTATTCTTCCAAACACCACTTAAACCAAATAACTTACATAAAGACTTAAGTTCCTTAACCTATTATGAATATGTTTTTCACTTATTTAAACTTTTGTTTATTGAAGGTAAGATTTCAGATGATCTTTAAATTAAGTTAAATTAAATGAAACATATCAAATCTCAAAAAGAGACTTTTGTTTATTTAATAGGTTAGATATATACCTTAAATTATTAAGCCTATTTATAAGGGGTGCAGAGAATGAGATTATATTGCCACCTGACGTTGTTGAGACCTGAGCTTATTAAAAATTCTTTGTTGCATACTTTGAGAGAAAATTTATAGGAAGTTTAATATTTATATTGCAATAGATAAATTTAGGTTTATAAAAAAAAATGAGCAGAATTTTTATTTAAAACATGTTAATGTTTTTTAATTATTAGTTTTAAATATGTTATTTTAACTCTGATAATCAAAATCCTAGCTATATGTCACTGCCTATCTAATTAAGAGAAAGCTAGGGTTTAACCTAGCTTTGACTATTCAAAACTAAGAACAAGATATGAGAAAACTAATACTTGTTAAATTATTAGGAGGAATGGTAGTGGATTGATTTGAAAAGGAATTGGAGAAAAACGATGGTGGCGTGAGAGAAAAGTGCTTAAAGGCAAAGTTGCACGCTAATCACTTAACCCTTGTGATTGATCATGAAGACCTTTCGCTGGTAAATTTCTGCATGAATCTCGTGCATCTAATTAAAACTCCCGCGTGAGAAAAATAAAACACACTTTCAGAATTTCAGCGTTGTCCAAATAAATGATATTAAGAAGAAAAAGAATAATATATAAGAAGATGTTAGATGTGGGGTTTAAAACCTATTGAGTTAATTATGAGGTGCGTTTTAATGTAAACAGATTTGTTCACAGTTAGTGTAAAAAGATTAATTATGTGTCCTCATAATGAGTTAGTTTAATAATACTGTGATCATTTACAAATATACGAAAAGTTAACTAAACTATTAAAAGAATATTATTCACAAAAAAATTTCAAAAGTTACTTATGGACTCAAATCGCTTGCTACTCATGCCAACTTCTTTTGGTTTATAATATAAAAATTTAAACTCAATATAATATATATATATATATATATATATATATATATATAATGACAATAATTATTATTATTAAATTAAAAAAAATAAAATAACTATTACATATTAATTTTATTTACTTCATTAATTTATTATTTTAAACCAATAAATATACATAAAATTAATTATTTTATAGCATTAATATAATATAGAAAAATATTACTTATACAATAAATTAAAATACATACTTATATTTTACATATAAATTAATAAATTAACTGATAATTTTAATTTTTTTATATTTTTATTTGTTAATTTATGTAAATGTTTACTAATTATTATTTCAAATGTATATTAACAACTATATTTTTTAATAAATAACTATTTATATCTATATATTTATGTAAAATTTATTAAAAATAATTATTTAAGATTTTATATATTTATATTTATATTAAGAGTAATCATACCATGTATAAACCTATGTATAATAAATCTATAATTATCAAAAGCTATTAAAGAATATCAAAATATATTAAAATTGATTAAATTTACTAAATTAATTATTAAATAGTATTTTATCATTTAATTATTTTTTATTTAAAATATTTATTGCTAGTTCTTAATTAAAATCATAATTTTTAATATACTATATATATTAAATTTAATTAAAATAATTAAAAAATAAAAATTTAAATTTAATTTAATTTTATAATAGTTTTTAATATAATTATATTTAATATTATTTTTATGATTAAATTTTAATATAAGAAATATTTTTTATTTTTAAAATTAATTTTTATATTTAAAATATATTTTTAAATAAATTTGAATAAAATAATTTAATAAATATTATAAATAAATGATATAAATTTATTAGTTATTTTTTAATATAGTTGGGCTAACCCACTCCTAACCCTAATCTTTTTATTCACCATTTTTTTTATATTCTAGCTTAGGGGTAAAATAAGCTTACTAACTATGGAGTTTTAAAAAAAATGAGACTATATAAGAGGTTAAGTAAGGTAAGACAACTTTAACTCATTTTGATAGCTCTACTTTTTTGTCATCATTATCTTCCCTTTGTAAAGCCTCTCAACTTGTCATAAAATACATCAAATATAAGCTTTACCACAATTAAAGATAATAATGGTGAGATTATTGCAAAAGATAAGGAATGTGTAGATTCAAAAAGCAAGGGGAGTTTATAGTTTATGGTATCCTATAGGTATTCAACTTCACTGGTAATGACGCAATGGTGTCATGAGCTTGAATTATCATTAAGATCTAGTTAAAAATAAAGAGTTTTTTTTTATGTAACCATAATAATGGTCCTTTTGGCGGTAGTGGAGGTAACAAATTCAATGACAAGAATAATTGAGATCAATGACAAAAAATGATTATATTAATCTATAAAATGATATATTTTGACATTATAGGTATACTTAATGACAAATATTAATATTATTATGCAAAAATTATTAATTAAAATAAAGTGTCTAACATTTTATGAGGTCAAAGATTAAAGAATTTATTCTAAATCTCAAGGACTAATTTGTTCAATATTCATATCTCACATTAATTTGAGAATTTACAAATCATTAAATTAGGAAGTATGAAGACCAAAATGGACAACCAATCTAATATACAACCAAATTGTGTATTAAACCATTAGTGATTCTAGAGGCGTGGCTTAGTTTTGGACCTTTTGTACTTATTTAAAATATTTTATTTAAAAAAAATATTATTGTTAATACATATTATTGCTATCAATTTTTTTATTAGATTTTAAAATTAAAATGACATTTGTAACTGTTTATATGTAACGAAATCAAATAATTAAATATGGAGTATGGCATGTGATTTGTTAGAACTTATAACCTAAAATGAATTGTTGTAATTTTAGATTTGTAGTCTTAGATTTGAATTTCGCTTTCAAATTTTAGTTTAGCTTTGTTTGGCTGCGATCTACGGTTATTGTTAGTTGTGGCTTGTAAGTAAGGAGTAACGGTCACTTTTAGAATGTATAATAGGTGATCACCTAGATTTAGATGTGTTTATAATTTTATAAATGCGTTAATCACATTTCCCATTATTTGACATCGAAACTTAGGTTTGTGCGATACGAAATCATGAGATATATTACGTAGATCAGAAGCAATTGAACATTTGTTTGATTGTGTGATTTAAGATTTATAAAATACCTCACTAACGTGGTCACACACGCTATCATACTCGCCAATTCACCTTTTTATTTTTATTTTTTTTGTAAATATCATAAATTAAAAGAATTTTGATGAAAATATATTAAAACGAGATTAAGTTTAACTTATTTCAAAAATCCGTGTTAATATAGGTATTGAATTATCGGTGTCAAACTGTATTCAGTTTAACTTATTTCAAAAATACACTTTTGTTGTCAATTTTTAAGAGAAATTTTATAAAATATTTTTTAACAAAAACTACCAAACATATGTTAAGTCATATGATTTTAAGAGTTAGTAGCATGTTATATAACTCATAAATAAGTTAGAAATGACATGTTATAAGAGGTTTTAAAATTTATAATATTTATAATTTAATTCTTAATAAATTTTGCAAGTTAAAGATATTTAAATATTAAATATTTTAAAAAATTATTATTTTCTTTTAAAATCATCTTTTTTTTTAAAGGGAGTTCTTAAAGTCAATTTTTTTTTTCATTCACATAAAACTCAATCTTATTATCTCAAATTCACTTTTTTTTTTTATCTTTGTTTCTAAAGTTACTTCAAGCATTTTTGTTGTATTTCTAACTCCTAACTCGATAGATTCTATGGATGTAGTTGAAATATAAACGATAAAAGTTTGAAAGAGATATTTAAGACAAGAGATAGAATATAATGAGGTAGTACCTATTTAGAATAATGTTGTAGAAGTTTTGTTAAATTCTTCCTTATCCTACTTCAATTCCTTCTTATTTTCTCCTCTTAAATAGCATGCAAATGTGTTTCACAAGTCTAAAACCTAAGTAACCATGCTCCTTTTGCATACCATACTTTGAATTGTGATCTTTGTAAATAGAATCAATTAAATACATAAACATCATATAGTCATCCTAATTCTCTTAGAAACAAATAATTTTGCTAAATCGATACAGGGATAATGACTAAAGAGATGTGATTGAAGGCTAAAAAATACAAAAAACACAATCTTTGTAATTCACTTGAGCTAATTTTAGACAATGATAAATTAACAAATATCATGGCAATTTCACTTAAGCCAATATATATTTGGCTTAAACGGATGTTAAAAAAAAATTGTAGCTTAAATTAAGTCTTACATGCTTAGTTGATATTGATCTAGTAAACTATGTTTCCTATGTAATTCTTTGCTTAAGTGATTTAATATTTGACTTAAGCGAATATAGTAGTTATTGTGCGAACCAATTTCCAATCAATGTAGGGAAGGCATAGTGAAGATCTGAAATGGCATTCAATAATCAATCAATATATAATTAGATTTTAATCTGTTTACAGTGAAAATTCGCAGAATGTAAACAAATTAATTCAATAGCAATCTGGAGACTAAATTTTAGGTCCTCTTAGATTTTTTGAAGTGTGTTTTTTACGTAATAATGAGGTCAACGTTGTTAAGCAAAAATGCTTAAGTAGAAATAGCATGAATAGTAGAATAGCGTAATAGAAACAATATTAAACTGAACGTAAACGTTTACAGAAATATACTAAACAATAATGTAATTGCAGGAATAGAAAATGTAAAATGGACTTGAAATAAACAAACTGGAATGTAAATTTGCAGAAAGATAACGTATGACTCCTAGCAACAACGAACACCAATGACCATGAGTTTCTTGGTAGTTGGTGTTTATCTTGGTGTAGAATTTCAACGTGCAAAGAGTTTGGATGCAAGTGTATAGTGCAAAAAGTTGTCCCCTATAAATGTGAAGTTTCGTAATATTTATAGATAGATGAACTATAACTGCTTTCCTCTTTTCGTGGGCACTTCTCGATAAGTGCCTTTTGTGCGTACTTCTTTTCAACCGTAGTCGCTCATTATCCATAACCGCTCATGATTGTACCTTCTCCATGACTACATGTTGTCCATGATCATTTTTTCATGCTCACGATCTCTAAACTTCAAGTGATGTTAACTGCTAGTAACCATTCCTTTGATAGTGGCTTTAGACCTTATGATTTTTTGGCATGTTTCATCCCCTCTTGAACTTCATCTTGCATCTAGGACTCAAAATAAATTTCTTGTCATTTTTTGTTTTGACAAATTTTGAGGAAACCTGTAGAAGACTCTTGTGTACTTAGAATAATATTTCTTGTTGATCCTTGTTTCGACAAGTTTTGAGAAAAATTTGTGAGTTCATATAATCTTGTGGACTTAGAATAATTTTTTTTGTCGATTCCTATTTCGACAAGTTTTGGCTCCTTTTAATCTGGAGGCTTAAAAATCACCAAAATTCCTCGAGAAGTAATCCTCTTTTCGACAAAAATTAAGGTTCTCCTCTAGACCTTCCAAAATTACTCGAAATTAAGCCTTCTTTTCGACAAAGAATGAGACTCTTCTTTAGCCTTCCAAAAATTCTCGAAAAGTATATTTCCTTCTGACTAAGAACAAGGCTTTTAGGACCCTCCAAGACTCCTCAAAATGTAGCCTCCTTTTCAACAAAAAATGAAGCTTTTCGACTAGTTTTCGCTGAAACGTGTCAAAAAGTGATTTTTTCAAGTGTAGGAACCTAGGGTTCTCTGTGCTTTTAGTCGAAAGACATAGTCTATTCCATGCCACAAAAGTTTAGTGAGGGCCTCTATAAAGAAAATTTTACTTGTCCCAAAAATAATCATAAATTGAAACTATGAGAGTGAATGAGAAAGTTTTAAAGGTGAAAATTATGAACTTCATATATAGAGTTTATGATGAACCTTACAAATCTAAAATAATATTCAAAGTTCTATTGATTTAAAAGTTATTTTTATTATAAATTAAAATCAATCACTACATATAAATACAAATTATCTTAAAATTACAATCTAGATACAAGATACATACAACATTTGTTTGAAAATGTTAAAAAATAAATATGAATATAAAAGATAATAAAAATATAAAATAACAAGTTTTGAAGGTTCAAAGAGCGATTTTAAAAATATTTAAAGAAGACTAAATCATAAATATATTAAAATTGTTGCTATAAGATTGCCAGTAAAAAATCTCAACCATTTATATTTTTTATACTACATCCAACCGTTCAAAAAAGCTTACTCACCCATGCACTACATATTTTCTAACTCATGTTAGCCTTTATTCAAGTTTTAATTAACTATTGTCTACTAATATAATGAAACTTCGTGTTTGTTTGTGTACATGCTTCAAAATTAGTGGAGTAGTGTTTGTCTATTTTTTAAGGGAAACTTTAGAAAAGACAAATATTCATTTTAGTTTTTGAATTATAAATGTTGATAATCTAAATTAAAAGTTTTAAACTCTTTTTTTTTTTCATTAATTTCATAAATATATATTCATTTTCAATATTATTTGAAACTAAAAACAAATAAAATTTTGTAAAATTTAAAACTAAAATTAAAGATTAATAATAAATTCTTATGCTTTTAGTTTTAAAAACTAAAATAAAAATGTAACTTCTAAAAAAAAAAAGATCAAGACAACCACCTAAAGACAGTTTTGGAAGTGAGGAACAAACTTTGTTACCTACCACATATTCAGGACTCAATTTCAATATTCAAATGTTCCTTTGTATTATTATTACTTTGGGTTACCGAGGTCCACGGTACGTGTAAATTGAACAGTTCAATCTAGAGTGACACGATTTATTAAGAGACGTTTAATGACAGCAACTATTTTTAGTGATTATGAAACCGATGTTGGCTTGTAATACAAGTGGAGCCTCAAACATTCGTGCATGGAAACTTTGTCTGTTTTCTGTTACCGATATAATTGGTCACTTTCCATTGGCAACTCTAAGCCCATTATAGCTCTCATTCGCATTCGGCTTTATAAGCATCCCACTTCACAATTGCCTCCCTCATCATCTAAGCCATTGGATCCCTTCATATGTGGGGGAGTTAGATACAGACAAAAGATACCCTCCAAAGCTTGTGCCTTGCATTTTCTTTTTCATTACAATTTAAATTATTGGAGTGCTATCAAACCCATTAACGTTTTTGTCTATGGGCAAAAGTAGCTATCACGAATATATTATCAAAAGCTATCCCATATGTTATTCAAACACAACTACATGTAAAAAAATAATTAACAAATGAATAATAATGCTTGTAACTCCCGTTTCAGTGGTTAGATAGTGTTCAAAACTGAAGCAGCAATGATTAAACATCAATACACTTTTGAATGGGAGAAAAAAAAAACTCAACATATTTTCTTTAATTCTTTAAGATATTTATAATTATGAGCCAGGAATTTACAGTTGCCACAGGAGCAAAACAACTAGGTAGCGACAACGCTGTTGTTACCATATAAGAGGTCTTCTGTGCGTTAAATCTGCTCCAGGACCTCTTGGAATGTTTCCGAGAAAACCGAAATCGGAAAAGCTATTTTTATTAGTATAGCAGAGTATACTCTCCTCTATACACTATATAAGGCTTTTTAAGGGGCTTGATTTCCATAAAACAAGTGACTTGAGAAATTCCATGACCTGCAGATACAATATTAAGGTAAATTTATGTTGGGAGTAAATAATACCAAGATGCACAACGAATTAAACCTAAAGATCTACATAGTATTTTCTGTATCTATTGCTAACAGCCTATTTAATACAAATATATATTGAAGAAATATCATCAAAACTTCCAAACAAAATACATAAACTCGGTTAAAAATGAGAATTACCTCTGATGGATCACGAAGAGAGTAAATTGCGTTGCTTTCTTTTGGAGCTGAAGACACCAAGATTCCATAACCTTTATTTCCCTCTTTCAACACCTATTACAGGTCGTTTGATATCAGTATCAAAGAAACCAACCGAGCAAAAGGATATACTTAAGTCCGATCATCATAAACAAAAACAAATTACCTTGAATGCATCTTCATCAGTCCGATCATCTCCAATATATATAGGAAGCACATCATCACAATTGTTAAGTCCTAGAAAACAATATTTAAAATGTCACTGACTGCAAAACAATCGATTCCGATCTCTAAAGAAAATAAACAACAAATGAACTCACCAAGTGAGTCGAGCAAAAATGTGACAGCTTTACCCTTATCCCAGTTAATCACAGGACGGACCTCTAAAACCTGAAAATTAGCAAAGCAGAAACTACAAATCACAAAATATCCTCTATAAGTATTGAACAGTTGAATCTCCTAAAAAAATGACTCAAAAAGTTGCCTTTGGCTCTAAAACCAGTACCTTCCGCCCATGAGTTAATCGCAACCGTGGATAGTCCTTCAGAACATCATGAACTCGCTGCCCCACCAAATCCCAACTCTGTGTATTAAATTAAAAATGCTTTTTTACAAACGTAGCAGGTAACAAGTTCATGAAAGGTAAATCAACTTAGCAGAATTTTGTTAAGGAAATGAACAGACACCTAACCTTTTCATCAACATTGCGGTAGTGTACAGATACACAAAATTTATTGTTCTCAACTTTTGCTCCTTTAATGTCTTTTGTACACCCAACAAGGGACTTAAATACCTGTCCAAATATGAGCTAATCAGGATAACAAGTCCCAGTGAAATAAAATATGGAAAGAAGATTCATGGTACTATTTTTTCCAACGCCTACCTCATTAATCATGGGCAGGAATTCAGCAGCAGGTTGGAATAAATTAACTTCCTTACCCTGTAAATTTAAAAATCACCATAGGGGGAATTTATTAAGATAATTGAAGAAAGAGGATGGGAAGTACACGAGAGACTCATAAAACAGATGATATATAGAAACTTTGAACCCCAGTACCTGCTTGTCCGTAGACCTAATGATGCAGTTAGGGTGACTATCAGATACAGATTGCCTAACAGGTCCAATGATGTCCATCCCATGACTACCAGCATAATAGAGCTCTGTTAGTCCTACAAATTCATATACCTGAGCCAACAAGGATGATACTTAAGTTAGAACCAACAACTGACATGGAAGCTTCATGTGAGCAGGAGAGTATGCAGTTGTGTTCATCAAATAGATAAGGGAATTAATAAGATAAAGAGATCTGTCTGTGTTCTATAAAATATATCATCTACCTTGTCACGACTTCTTCCACTAATTATTGCTGTTGGAAAATATTCTGCCACCTTTTTAACGGCAGCACGCATCTGCAGAATTTACAGGATCAAAATCAGCCAGAAAAAAAATGACAAACGAACAAATCCCAATTGAGGTCATGGATAGTAAAACCATGGAGAATACAACATACATTGTCGGACATGAAAGCACAGTCAGGATTATCCACAATTGGGGAAAGAGTTCCATCATAATCCATAAATAACGCGATTCTTTTTCCCTTTGCATAGTTTGTGATTTGGTCAAAAGATGTAAGTGCAGATGGATATTTTAGCTGTGAAATTAACAAAATGGACGAAGAAATAGCATAAATAACCTTGCAATTGAAAATTTCAGAAACTAACCAAAAGGGAAGTATGTAATACCAGCCAGGTAAAATAAGAACTAGTAGTATCAGCATCAGATGATGCAAACCCATGACTAACATCCTTCGTTATCTTCCTGGCTGGAGGTGATGATGATTTCATGGCATCCAACCAACCACTAGAACGAACATCTTCAAGAATTCCTGTCTTCTTCCTCGGGATATTCAATAACATTCCATGTGGAAAGGTTGCCCCAGTATGGGAGTAAGGCAACAAACCGGAATGCACACCCAGTCTAGACTTTGTTACGGGTGCAGCATCAGTGAGAACAGGAGTATGATTCGACTTTAAGTCCATGGGATCCAGGTTTATAAACCAGTTTACAGTGTAGCAACAATGTAAGAAATTTAAGGAGTATTGAGCATCAATCAAACTAATACCTATCAGATTTCCACTTCACCCAACTCTTTTATCAATAAAAAACCACCTCTTTAACGTTTTCTTGTCACTGCTCTTGGGGTAACAGTCCATCAACTGCTGAGCTCCTGAGAAAATGATCATATAATTGAATTAGTTTAAAGTACTTGGGTATCAAGTGACATAATAATTGAAACAAGAGCTGCAGGCATGTATTGGAAAAAAAAAATTAAATTGGAAATTTTGGAGCCCTAATAAATGTGCATCCTTCACCGGAAGTGAGAAGAAACAACACACATAAAATTGCAATGATCAAATATCAAACGAATAAATAACAACGATGCTTGAGATATATGAAAGTTACTATTAAACACATGAAGCAAGACTGGGGAGCATGGAGGGGAAAAGTGAAGGAGACAGTTTTAGAAACTGTAATCAAAAGCATAATTATATAACTTGATTTTGTATTTGCCAATTAAAATAAATAAGTAAAAAGAAAGGAAGTGCTGCTGATTCTTCCTATCATTTATTGATCAATTCATAGAAGGATGCTTTAATGATTGTCTAAAAATGCAGTTCACTAAAATCCAAATAAAGACGTTAAAGAGTCCACCTACTTGTAGTGAACTAAATATACACAAAGCACAAGTTGACATTAATTGACAACTAACTAAACATTATTGAGACTAACCTTGAACTGTGGCTGAGTAATACATAGGAGTTAGGATCATGTATTTTTATATGAGAAAAGTGTGAAGGCATATAGGACAATTGTGTGTAACCAAGATAGTTGAACACACTTTAATGCTTTTGCAATAAGCATATAAAAAGGAAAAATTTAGCAAAATGGAAAAGGAAAATTAACAACTTTTGGATTTTATCCTTGATTATTGTTTACAAAATTGAACAGCAAGAGCTGCTAATGAACAAAAGAATTTGTACAATTTTCACATGATCAGTCGCTTAACTAACTATATTGACGAAAAGAAAACCCATCCTCATATGACTGGAAACAGGTGTCAAACCTTCTTTCAGATTCAAATATCTCCATATAAATTCAATTTCCCAAACCTAACAGAGAGGGAAAAAAAACTCATTTTAAGAAAATCAAAACATAAAATATCCTGCCTGATTACTAAAAGACGCTCCTAGAAGATTTCAATCAGCACGAATTCAAGATAACAACAATGAATGTTCGAGATATTTCTTCAAGGATAAACAAGCTTATTACATGGTCTATATATTAGCAACTATTAAATATGACAAATGATAGAAACCACTAGGAAGAATGACTACAACATGACGCAGAAATATAAAGACACACACCAAACTACACTAAAAAATATCAGGAAACAAAAAGATGAGGAAAAAGCAAAAAAAAATCTAACACTACCGAAAAATAAAAGATAAAAATTTGGAACAAATAAAGTATGTTAAACTGTTGGTGATTAATGAAACAATTAAGAAAACGCTAATTTTCTGCGTAATGTAAAGTTGTACTACCCCACCCAGTGGACAGGAAAGAAAACAATACCATATGCAACCACACACCATGGGCCTACAAAGCGTGGGAGTCAATAATACAAATGGACCCAACACACAAAAGATTCTGCGATGAAATAGACAAACTGGCACACATTATCAATAAACATTGACAAAGAATAAAAAATTTCCAAAACTTTGTAGGGCACATTTCGCTCAAACGTAAATTCTAGCACACAAATATTTCCACGGTGTAAATTTAAAACGCTCAGAAAGACAACCCACGACTGGTAAATTGAAAACAGAGTGATGTAGACTTGAGAATTTGACATTTTGCTCATTTTATGTACATTCTACATTATTTTAAATGGTTGAGAATAGTTTACACGTTGCGGACAACGAACAATTAGACTCAAAAAATCAAGGTTGTAAACAAACAACATCACATCAGCTTAATCAAAAACAGCTCCAAGGCAGACAAATCAGAATCAACAGTGGACAGTACCCATCTCGCGGTCGGAAAAACTGAAAAAACTGAATTAACCAATCACCCAACGATCGGTCAAAGTAGACGATGATTCGCCAGAAAAAGAAAAGGATAAAAAAAAACATTTTTTTTCCAATCAAAACGAATTTTAAAAGAAGAAAAAGGTGGCTTAGAATCCTAGATTCTGACCAGCTCCAAAAAGTTTTAATAAGAGATTGAATAAAGCGAAGGTAACACGAAACGTTCACGAGTCAAAACGGCACCGACCCTTTTGAATGACTAGCAATTCAACCAATCAGCAGCGAAACAAAAACAAAGCAAAAAGCAACCATACAAATTGGAAGCCAAATAACAGAACCTTGATTCGAAAAGGATTCTCGTGAGAAAGAAAAGGGGCTAAGAAGAAGAGATAAAAAGCCAATAACCATAGCTTACCTAAAAACCGAGCTCCAACCACGAGAAGAAGAAAATGAAATTGGTCATTAATCTTCAGAATGCAGTTTCTCGTTGAATAAGCTTCAAAAGCGAAAATGAACCACCGATCAGAAGTGGAATAGCAAATTAAAAGACACAAACACCGATATTTTACGTTTGGCGGCGAACAAATAAAATAACTGAAAAATAAAAAGAAAATGAAAAGCGAGAAACAGAGGCACGAGTTGTTCGGGAAAAGCTAAAAATGTGTAAAATTATGGGCAGGGAGAGAATATGGAAGGGAATGCGTTATGTGTGTATTTTGGGGTAGAAACATGGAAACATATAATCACCTGAAAAACAGAGGAATGGAAGGGAAAACGGTGCGCAAAGCGGCGAGGTTGAGGAGGGAGAGAGAAGAAAGAAAGATGTAAATAGGAACTGAGGTATTTATAGCGTTTCGCTTCTCACGAAACGTGCTTTACAAGGAAACCTTTCTCGGTTGTTGAATTAGGAAACACCACCAATAAAATACGCCCCCAAAATCTCCAACTACATTCCGATTCTCGACCTTGCGCGTTCGTTACACTTCCAAATCTAAATATGGCAGCGCGTTACGGCAGTTGACGGCGCGTGGGTTCCTTATGATTAACTCATAACCCAAGTGCCAAAAGCGAAGATTTGATTTTATTGGTTCGCGAACCATTTTTTTATTCAGATAAATCAAAACGGAAGGGCAAATTCACGGGAGTGGGTCCCGCGCAGTATCTGGCGACACGTGGCCAAGCAAGGCGCGTAGGGACACGTGTAAATGAGACGAGGTCGACGTGGCCACGTTCGGGGAGGGGCCACCACGTACGTGGGGACGACGTGAGCGAGCGTGTTGTCGCTTTCGGGGAACGAGTGGGAGTCGTCGGTGACGGTGGGTATTGTCGGAGACAGCCAGTCATAAGGTCCCACGTGGCACTAGTGGGGTCCACTTCGGGAGAAATGATGGCCTCATAATCAGATGAAGTGGCATGGGATGGGCCTTCATGCAAGAGCCGATATTGTCAACCCCCATCAAACGGACACGTGTCTCAGTAATAATAAATAATGCGGTCAATTTCTTTTAAAATTCACTCTTATTTTCCCTCGTTTGTTTCTTAATTAGCATGTAGCCCTGCATCGTAACAACTTTTTTTTTTAATTAATATAATATTTATTTAGAGGAAAGTAAAAAATAAATAAAAAATATTACAATATCAAATTTAAATCTTTCATTAGTTTAAAAAAGTAATTACAAGTTTAGATGAAATAAAATTTAATTTTTAAAATTATAATACAAAAAAGTTCACATTTTAATTAAAAAATATGCATATATTATTTTTCAGCAAGATATGTTTTATGATGATTTAACAATCTTTCTTTAATTACTTTTTTTATATTTAAAATGTGATTAACATATTTATAAAATGATAGAAACAATTTTTATTATAAAATTTATAACATTCCTCAAATTAGAGTAATCTGATCGATATTTAATATTTAAATTAAAAGTTATTTTTATTTTTTAAAATATAACTATAAGTTCAATATGAAAAGTTTTCTAAGACTCTTATAAGTTAAAGGTTTTCTTAAGCTATTAAGATAAATTAAAAATTTTGATCAGTCTTTTAACGAAACTCCTTATTAATATGTTCATAATAGTAATAATATTTTTAAATTAAGATTTTTTTTTCTAGCAATACAATCAACATTTTTTACCCTTTATATCCACCATAATGTAGCTAAAAATAAGGAAAAATTTATTTTATATTGAGTCATAATCCAATTACTAACATCAAAGAAAGTTGCAAATCCTTCAATCCATATACCTACACAAACTCATATTTCTTAAATTGTCAAACTGTTTCTATGATGCCTTAAGTCAAGTTAAGAATTTAATCTTTTTTCACACCAGAAATACACCAAATCTCCCTCCAACTAATGTATTTGTACGAAGTTCTCCTATCAACAAGTTAGTTAAAATCATGTTTAGTTATATAATTTTTATCTAAATTACTTAACCAGGTAGACTTATCATCAAATGACTACTAATTGATAAGTTAAATTGATAAATGACTGAAATAATTAATGTTGGTATCATAGTATTAATTTGAGAAAAGTTTCACTCTTATTGGATTCAAATGTCCTTAACATATAGCTCTATGTCTTGAATGTCAGTATAGAAAGTGCAATCATATAATTTACTTAATTCTAATAAGTCATGATACCATAAGGAAACTTATCGAGTAAAAAAGTGAACTCATCTCTCATAATTTTTAGCCTTCTTAGTTGTTTGTCAATGTGAGACCCTCCATTTTATTATAATCTAACAAATTATTTTTTGTCATATACTTTTTTATAAGCAATTGGATGTAAAGTTTTGTCTTTTTTGTTCATCATAAGTATTTTTACTCAATAAAGTTACATTAGGTTCCCTAGTAATTCTCAAACTAAATTCACCATTTTAGATTTTACAAATGATTATATCCTAATTCACCAAATCAATTTCTTTTTCATCATTATTCTTCTAAAAGAAATCACACACACATGGAGTGACAAACAAATTAAAATAATTAATATAGTTATAGATTGTATGTTGGGATTGTTGTAATAATTGACTTAGCTAGAATTAAACAACCTATTTTATTAAGGAAACTAGGCTTATAGTTAGCAAGCTTATGTTGAATTTTCTCCACAATGAAATCAAATGTTTTCTTTTTCACCAAGAGATAATTATTAAATTAATTTATTTTATTTTATAAAAATTTATTAAATAGTGTAAGTATTTAAAATTGATATAGCATCGATAAATCTTAACTATATATATATATATATATATATATATATATATAATTTAAAGAAAATATTATAAAATAAATCAAATTCATAATGGAAAGACAAAACAAATTAAAACCAAATAAGAATTAACATTAAGATTTCGTTTATGTGTAAAATAAAATAAGGTAATAAAATATATTTTATTTTATTTTATATTTGACATGTTATAATATAGATTTGATTTGATTAAATGAAAGTTTTAAAAAATTAAGAAGATAAAAAATAATTTTACTCAAATAGATTTTTTTATTTAATTATTATATATTGATTATTGGTATCCTTTTACGTAAGCCGGACGAACCCTAAAATTATGGAGTGACAGTGATAATAAGTTTGGGTAATTTAAGTTAGACAATAGCACAACCAGCAGGTTATATAACAGCATGAAAAACTATGAAAAAATTAAGATTACTAAGTATGTTCCCTTGTGAAACAAATCCACATCAACATTCAAAATATCCGCATATGCTCTACCTGCATCACAATTCGATCGAGTTTCTACAGTTCAATTCCAAACCTATAATCAGTCTCATCTTTACTGCCATAATTGCAAGTGGTGACTGCTGAACATCCTTCTATGCACCTCCAAAATGAGCTGTTTTCCTAACAATAAAATGTCACTTTGCGTTCTCTGACCCCACCATCAGATAGAGATATCTTTTTTGGACACCTTAATACAAGTGTCTCTCAGTTTTTTAGCTCTATTTACAACACAACTCCATCACATAAATCCCTCACGTTTGATTGAGTTTGCAAGCATGATGTCATCACTACAATAAATTTTTCAATCAAACCAGTTAAATTCAAGAACGCCAAGTTTGGCGGTGAAAAATAGGATTGCATAGCCTTTCCTAATTGCCAACCACGACTTCTTTACCACCCGACTTAGACCATATCGTATATGATTCTTAATTGCCTTCAAATTTTTAATCATTGGAACAAAAGATATACGCCAATCTCG